GCAGCCGCTGACAGCACCTCCTATACACCACCATACAGAGAAGAAACCACGGCAACAGATTTGGATGGTCAAATGCAGCAAAAAGCTAACCACCAAAATAAAACAAGAACCACAGTTTTTATGGTTGACCATTGTTGCTATATTTGTGGGTAATTTCTCGTTGAATTGCAAATGTACATGATAACAGATGTTTGATATTAAGCATGGCTACAAGTAAATTTTGGCTTGGTTAAAGGGTATAACCGTGACCAGCAGTGAGAGAAGTTCTTATTTGTGTTTCCAACTTCAATTACACATTACTATGACACATTACTCACTTTTTTCTCATTTATAATACTTCTAAATAAAATGGGGGGGGGGGGGGGGGGGGGGGGGTAGGTTAGGACCCATATTATATATTTAGTAATGCAACTAATGTCAGTACACTGTCATACTTCATATGTATTTTTTATTTATTTTTTTGTTGCTGGTCTCAAGTTTGGATGAACTGGAAAGAAGGGTACTCTGCTTTATCTACAAATCACTGCTTTTTGGTCATTTACTGTCAATGTGAAGCATTGAAAGCTGAAAGGTGTAAGGAAAGACATGTGAGACAATTAAGACTTCATTATAGCTCAGTTTACATGGTGTTGTGATCAAACTGTTCATCTGTAGATAACAGTCCAGAGAGATTACTTATGTAACTGATGCTTGTGTCAGATGCCCTGCATTTAACCCCGATTGTGGTTATCTCGTGTTGCTACAGCCTTTAAGCATTGAGGATCATTTACTGTTTACACTGGAGTAGCCCTGTTTATTCAGAGGAGATGGGAGATTATAGTGTGAGCATATAGATGTAAACAAATGTATGCCAAATCTACAGATTTGCTACAAAAAATACCCTTAACTAGCTGTGTTTTGATGTGTATTTGAAAGCTACAAAGTTCGTTTAAAAAAGAAAATTCAAACTGAAATAATTAACTCATTTTTGGTTAATCTTGCATTTCCCACTGTATTGGAGATCAACAGATTTTTTTCATGGCCGATGTCAATACAGTTATGAAAACCAGAGCAACTAATGATCAATAATTAATTTTGATCATTTTTGCGTAGATTATTTGAAACTGAAAAGTTATCCACAAACCTATTTCACGGCAAACCTTAATAAAACAATACAAAAACATAATTTATCATTTTATACACTGCACTGTGTAAATTTTATGGTGGAGGGTCTGCCACCTGCTTGCCTCTATGGGGATATAATTACATTGCCTGAAATGTTTCACAGTATGTCATAAATAAATTATACCCATGGAGAAAAAAAGGTGATGCAACTAGGCACAGGTCAGATCTGTGGAGAGGTGATCCTGCTCACAGTAACAATTGTTGTTGGTCAAGGTATTTTTGAGTAATCAAAACAACTGTGTTGACTAAATGTGAGTCAGATACATTTAATGCCATTCTGTGTAAATTTCCTGCTAAAGCAATAACATCTTCATGGTAACAACATGGTGACCAGAAAGTTATGTAGTGCACCTTTAAACTTAGCACAATGCAAAATCTTGTATAGTTCAACCCTCCCAGCTGTTGAAGAACAATGCCTCTTCACTTCCTGTTCCTTGGTGCTGGTCAGTCACAGCTCTTAGGGCATGGGGCGTGAGGGGCGGGGCTCGGGGGGGGGGGGTCCCACCATGTTTTTATTGGCCCCAGCAGATGGCTTCCCTCAGACCTCTACTTTGTTATGGCAGCCCATCTTGGTCTCGGGGTCAGAGTTAGTAATTGTTGCCAGTAGTTGTCAGACACAAAAGGTGCACGGCCAAAGAAAGTTTCCCCAGTAACAGAAACCTGTAAAACTGTCTGTCACATTTAGTGTTGTGTTGTATTCTGAGTAATGCCTGTGCAGGTGTCATAGTATCAGTGTGAAACAATAAAGTTCTGTAAAATGGGCCCCTCAAAAGACTATAGCAATGAATATATTTTACTTTCTGAATACGATTTCTTAATTGCATTGTTATTATTTAAGAAATATAGTGTTCTCTGCAAACAACAAAACTTGCACTGTGTAACCTCCTTTCTCTGCCGAGACATTACAGCTGGAATGTTCCACAGTGTGGTATTAAACTTGCCTAGCTCCATGGAGACAAGCAAATGACAGTACCAGGCCAAGTTACATTACAGATCTGTGGCAAATTATGGACCTTGCACTAGAAAATGTTATCAAATGTTAAGATATCCATGTAATCTTTGTATTTAGCAAGCTCAAATTTCAGTCACCTCTCTAAAGCTCTAATGCTGAACAAGTTTAGGAGTAGTTGATGTTTTTTATTTCTACTTGAGTACAATATTATTATTAGAGCTACTTTTTTCAAACACAATAAGCATACTATCTTCTTGTTATCGGCAGTTTACCTTTTCAAAAATGTAAGAATCGCTATAACCTCACTTTAGAGCCATCCTTTCTTCAGTGTTGTTGTGATAACCCTGTCTCTAGTACCATATTTTTAACATACTTTTTTCTATTTGCATTAATGCAGCCAAACCCTGAAATTGTACACTCGGTTCTCCACTGGTTAAAGTCAGAGGATTCTGTATAAAGCTCATTTCCACCTCTCCTCTTTCTCTGTATGATTATGAATATTTTTTCCCCTCAAATATGTGACCCCGACCAGTCTGCATCTGAAAATAATTTGGTGTTTGTGCTTGCTAGACCTGAGATCTCTTTCTCTTGTCTTGCTCAAAGGGATATGTGGGGCCAAAACAATGTTTCATTCAACAAGAGGGTGTACATAACTTGGAGCAACTTTGAAGTGAGAGAGATGTTCTTACTTTTTGTGGTAAGAACATGTAAGAAGACTTGAGCTGTAGAGGGTCAAATAAGCAACGTCTCTGGTTAGTTATAAATAAAAACACCATCTATTTATTACATTTAGAAGGGTTTACCAGGACTATCTTGTTTTATGGTTGTTGTGTCAGTTGCATAAAATAATTTCAGTATTATCATATATTGTGAAATTATCTGAAGTCATGTTTATCACGCTCATATTTGGAATTGTAAACATCGTGTGATACTGCTGCAGTTGGGGCTGTAGTTGGGGATAATATTAAATTTGTATTCTATCACATATCTATATCTCTGTTTGCTGAACACATACATCTTAGTATTACTATTTCTACCACTACACTACACACCTAATATACAATATAATAAAACTACAATGTCACAACCAGTTGAACTACTAGTAGTATTCCTGTAGTCAATGCTAAAACACCATTCTCTACTTTGACTACTACTATTACTTCAATTACTACAAGTAATACTAGAATTACTTAAGGCCTCAGGGAAGACCCGGGACACATTGGATGGACTATGTTTTTCGACTGACCTGGGAATATCTTTGGGTCCCACCGGAAGAGCTGGAGGAAGTGTCTGGGGTGAAGGAAGTCTGGGAGTCCGTGCTTAGACTGCTGCCTCCGCAACTTGGCCCCGGATAAGAGGAAGAAATTGGATGGATGGAATACTACAAATCATACAAAATAAATTCAACAATAAGAAATACTACAACCAATACAACTACTAGCCTAACTTCTGATTACCATGGTTGAAGTTCAGTGGTATTACTTTACAGGCCCAAAATTACTTGGGGCAATTGTAAAGTCTTACATGGTTTCAACTTACTTTTCACTTTTTGTAGTTAAAGGTAATCATCACCTATTCTTTGTTCCTCTCATCCGGGAAGTATCATTTCAAAATAACCACCCTTAGGACCAGTTACGTCCTATTACCCAAGAGCCAACACTTTACGTAATCTTTCAAATCGCTGCTTATTTCAAAAAGGCCCATTTTAACAACAATTTGAGGAATTCATTTCAATTGGACCCACATTCTTCACATTATTGTCCACCAAGAGAAGAGAGAGAGTAGAGTCATAGGGTTTTTAGGCCAAGGCGGTCCAGCTCAGGAAATGTTTAACAGCCTCTGAATCCCCAAAAGTATCCCGTGAACATCTGGTACGAGTCCCACACGCCAGTCCATTCTCTGAGCTGTAGGCAGGATGTGAAGATCTGCGGAGGTGTGCTTTATTGGCCTTTGTTGGGCTTGGTGTCCAAAGGGGTGGTAAAAACTATTAAGTAAGTTCAAGTGTATAAGGGGGCGTTTAAATTTTATGTGATGTTGGCAATGATGCACGATGAACGAATGGGTTTATATTTGAGAGCACTTTGACAGTTAGATCATGTGATGTAAAAGTTAGCATTTGGCTTGGAAGGTAGTTGGATTTTTTTAGTTCAGTATTATATTTAGTTTTTCTAGCTGAGATTGACATATCCCTGGGAAAATTCAGCTGTATTCAAAACATTGTGGAACAGAGGAAAAAAGTTTATACAGTAAGTAAATGTGGGCCATATGGCAAAAAAATACACTACTAGTCAAAAGTTTGGACACACCATCTCATTCAGTTTTTTTTTTTTTTCTTTAGTTTTACGGCTTTCTTCAAACATCAGACATCAGATATATGAAACAAGATATATGGAATTGTGTAGTAATTCTACATAATTCCATATACGTTGCTTCATATATTTGATGTATAATGTATAGCACTTTATCACAAGTTATTTTATACTTTTTTGAGGTAAATAATGTGTTCTTCTTCACTGTAATTGGTTAAATCCACCTGTCACTCACTCAAACCATGACTGAATGAGTGGGTTCCAATCCAGTCCAATCCACTTTATTTCTATAGCACATTTCACAAACAAACAGTTTTGAAAGTGCTGCACAAATACATAATAATAACAACATTAATAAAATAAAATATGGCATAATGATTTGATTTTTACATTACTAAGCCCTATGTGGATGTCATCTTTCTTGAGTATTTACAGCATCTTCTGAATGCCAGATATAAGATCAAATTAATGAATCCAGGAGGCTTTGTGTTTTTATATTGTGTATGCTTCTGATATTCATAAATTCACCGTTTACACACACAACTTAAATTTATATGTAGTTTTTATGCTTGCAGGATGCCAGCTGCTAGCACCATGACTGGTGGACGAGCCCTGCTGCTCTGTACGAACACTGAAAACTGCATCTACCAAACAGTCAACGGGTACGTAACCACGCCAACTCACTCCTCCTCCTCCTCCTCCTCACTGAATTTTATAATAACCCCCTGTCGCTCCCTCCATCTCTGCACACGGTTTGTATTAAATATGAATGATGTGAGACTTGACCCAGCTATTGTTGTATAGTCCAGACTCAGCATAAGACATCCTTCTCTCAGGGTCAGCTGTGAAACAACAGCCCTGAACTGGAGTGGCCATCTGGAGAGTCCTACCTCCCTCTGACCACTGTCTGCTGTACCCTCTGTTATTCTTATGAGTGCTGTTGGGATTATAATGAAGAGATTAGTATTGTCGTAGCTCTATTGTCTGGGAGAGGACTTGCTTGGCTGATTTGATACAATGTTGAATTTGTTAGTAGTAATAGAGGTGGCCTGTCATTGCACTATATTTTTACTTAAAGGCTTAATAAGTAGCTTCTTGTAACTTCCACTTCTGGTGTGGGGTAAGATACCTGTCTCCATTGAGTTGCTATTGCCTGAAGTGTTCCTCAGTATCATTTTAAACTTATCTTAATTGTAATGTCCTTTCCAAAAAAGTAAATTTACTATTCACTTGTCACAAAAATAGACAGCAGTCAGAGAGCGATGGGTTCTAATCTGGGTTGAGAGATAATGCAGAAAATTAGTAATACTTGTGCAATAACAAGTACTTAAAGTTGATATTAGTTTTACTCAAATTACTTTTTTATATCCCCTAATACCTAATACTACTAATAATACCACGTTTTTTGTTTCATATATCAAGTGCGCTTTGTTGTAACAGCCTTTGTAAACTTACAAACAGTTTTCAGTTTCATTTTCATATTCATTTTCTTTCCATATGTCCTGTGTTTGTACTCCTTCCATCCAGTCCTCTCATATCGACTGCTTCTCTTTCTTGAATTTCCCATCTGACCTAGTTTTTCCCCTTGGTTGCTTCATGCCTAATAAACTGCTGTTTTAACTTAGGCCATAGAGTGTCTTTGTGTGTGGGGGTGGGTGACCATCCGTCCAGCTCTCACCACTTCCTTGTGCTCATAGAGTTTCTCAGTTCATCTGAAGGAAACTTGGAGGCAAATTTCATGAATGATGTTGTCAAAGATGTTTTCTTTAGATCAGTGATTCTTAAAGTTTTTACACCAAATACCACATGTGAAACAAGTTAGCTTTAAAAGTAGCCAAGCTAAACATGGATCAGTTCTAAATAGGCAATGAACCAGATAAAGAAGCAAAAAAATTTGATCCTAGTTTTAGCTCAGTTTGAGTCCAAATGTAGACTTTGGTCTTGTTCTAGTTCTGGTTTAGTCCTTGTCTAGTCCGGATTTTGTTTTGGGTTTAGTCTTATTTTAGTCCCAATTTTGATGTAGTGATTTTGCCAGCATGAACGCACCCTAAAACATCCTGCCACGTGTTATAGTAACAAAAAGTTTCAAAAAGTAATCAACAGGACTATAGTTTTTGTCTTGAAGATGTTCTATTCATCTAAATTAATAAAATCCAAAATTAAAATCTAATAAAAAGAGGCATCTTAATCTCATTGATCCAGGAATGAGTTCAGCACTAAATTAATAATAAACACAAAAATTAAACTAGCAAAAAAATGATTAAATTCCTACCGTTGCCAGATCAAGCTTTCCTTTTTGGGATGTGCACCACAGTCTGAAAACCACTGATCCACATTCACATTTTCACATTTTGTTGGTCAGGTCACCCTAAGTCTTTCAGCAAGGCCACATTTCCCTTCCTTTCCGAGAAATACAGTTGCTTAAATGACGACTGGGCCTTGCTCCAAAAAACAAGTGAAGTTTTTTGGTTGAGCCGTAGAAAAGAGAAGCTGCACGTATACACAGTCATCGCTCATGTGCAGACACTTTCTTCTCAGCTCCAGAAATAACTTTGTGTGTGCAGAGCCTGTAAACTTTGACCCCGAAACCCAAAGTTCAAGCTGCCGTGACCCAGTCATGTTGTGGGAGTGACTCACCACGTCTGAGATCTTTAACTAGAATTCCTGTTTAGCTTGTAAAACAAAGATCCATTTGAGGGTAATTCAGTGGCAAGCTTTTCAGGGGCTACTTGAATGAATATTATATAGAGCACATAATATTAATAGTACACAGTGCTGAGAAAAAAAAAATTACATTGTATAGACAGACCAATATATGGGTTGGCCGATATTTTGTTATGGCTGACGTGCTGCCTAAAGCCTTATTTGAACATGTTATTATAAGAACTTTTGTTACTATAAGAAATTTGACTACATTGCTTTCTTAAAGGTTTGCAGTAAAAAAAATGGCTTGGGGGAAGTTTGTAGTAAATTTAAATTACATAATCGGCCATTGGTTGCTCTGGACTCTTGATCAGCCATGAAAAATTCATCAATTTCTAGCACAGAGTATTAATAGTGCATAGTATTGAGAGGGAAAAAAAATAATATTATGGCATTTCACTTGTGTTTTTATACAGTCTACTATATATGGTCAGTCAGAAGAAACTGAAAAATTATTTACATGGATCCTCACTGCCCCAGTCATTACATATTTTGGTATAACTGCTAATACTGGACAGAGACAAAATTTAGTCTATAAATATAAAATTTACTCTTTGCCAAATTGACTGTCACTAACTTCTATGTATAGCCTATACTAAAATTTCAAACTTTATTTCGATACTAAGGAATATACTCAGTACTCAGTGGTATCAATTTACTATCGATACTTGCTCAAATGAGTGTCTAGTTTTAGTATTGATTAGTATCTGATTTTTTATACTTTTGACAAGCCTATCCCCAAGTGATTCTTCTCTAGTTAATATATCTCCCTAACCCAAAAAATTGTTTGTATTTTGATGGGGGAGTTTATTAATACCAACAGACTGGTGGGTCACTAATCAAGTAGCCAGTCTCCATCATATGTCTTGTTTCTTTGTGCAGTTTAAAAACATGTGCTTAACCTTTTAGGAAACTGTGAAACAGTAATTTAAAGATGATTTATTGCATAAAAATACAACCTCTTATTATACATTCATTATCTGTTTCTTCTCAAGGCTCCAGTGCTGTGGCTTCCAGGTGAGAGACGCCCCATTGTCTGTGGTGGCCCAGCCCCAGGAGGTGTGTGGGACAGCGGGTAACAGGGCGCAGAGTGACCCCTCTGTGCCTCCACAACGTCCCCTCTCCCCCCCAGTGAAACAAGGCCAGAGCCCACCTGACAGCATGCTCACCCAAAGGAGAACCACCACCACCTCCACAGACCCACGCACCCCCAATATCGAAAATGGCTTGTGTGGGACTAAGCTGAACAACAACAAAACCCCAGTGAAGTCTGCCAGTATTCGGGATAAGATATCTCAATGGGAGGGAAAGAGGGAGCCAACTATAGCTGGTTCAACAGATCCGGAGTCAGTGAGGAAAAAGGACACAAAAATATCTGAAGTGCAAAGATCAGATAGTAAGAGGTTTGCTAGTTGGGAACGCCAAGACTCAGGGAAGGAAAATTTTGGAAAACTAGACTCAAAATCAAAATCTACAGAAGGCAACAACAACATGATTCTAGATAGACTCACAAAGCCAACAGAGCAACCTCAAGACAAGAAAAATGTTTTAATCCACGTGAAAAAGTTGGAAAAAGCTACAAAGGACTCGCCCGATAGGCCCTCACTGGCATTTCCAGGGAACTACTTTTGCTCCCCGTCAAAGGAGGAGCAGGAGGAGAGCGAAAAGAGGACTACGGAGCCCATTTTTGGGACTTTTGATGTGGTTCTGTCTGGTTCGAGGCGGAGGAGAGATGCGGAGAATGTGTATAGTGAACCGGGAGCTCCTTCTATAAACCCACTACCCAAACCTCAAAGGACCTTCCAGCACCACACGCCACCCACAAGCCCAGTGACGGGGCCCGGTGTGGGGAAGGGAAAGAGGACCCTACCCCCTCTGCCCTCCATACCACCCCCACCTTTACCCTCCAGTCCTCCACCGGGGGTCTGCAGGAGGGTCTGGTCTGACAAACCACGAGACGCTAATAACAGGTGAGACCGAAATATTTTAAATCGTGATTATTTGAGATATGAATGTGTAATTTTTTATGTACTAACAATTGTTTGGAAGGACGTTGGGTCGAACAGAATGATCTTTTTTGTGATTTGTGTTTTAGAAGCCATCGTAGCTACAGGTTTTGTGGTACAGAACAAATGTCATGTAATTTGTAGAATTTGTTTTGTAGAATGCACATTTTTAGTAATTGAATGGTGCTTAAAGGTTCACAGTGTAACTTTTTGGTGGAGGGTCTGTCACCATGTTGAGATGTTATTGCTTAGCCTGGAATATTGGAAGAGGGTTAGGGAAGGCCAATGTGGCATTTTTACACCTTGTGGCCACAATATGGGGAAAAAAAGACATTTGGAGACATACAACTGACCTTTTTTTTTACTGTCCAGAGCACTGATAATAATTGAATATATACTCTAATGCCATACTGTGGAACATTCCAGGCAAAGCAATAACATCTCCATGGAGTAAGACATGTCACCAGTTATACAGGGCAACATACACTGCACAGCTCTAATCTCAATTTGACATTACTTACAGAATGTGTTGAAGTCATTTGAAACCAATTGATCTAAACAAACAAGTTTAGTATTGTAAGGATAAATCTGGGTATAAAAAAGCTTGGCTGAGTTTTTTGCCAAAGCTCTACATGCCATGTAACAAAACATGATCTGAGGCTGAATAATAACCCGGTGTTTCTCAATTAGCTGTACTTGTAACTGTAGCCATGCAAAATCTACTGAAACAAATTGTTCATATCACTTTATCCCTCCTTCTCTGAGTGTGTGCATACGGCTGCACCTCCCCCTCTCCCGCTTCCATCCAGAGGTGAATATATGAACCATCTGCTGAAAATCAAAACCACAGTGACTTCATCGTGAGACGCAGAAACTCACAGGCCAAAGACAGGAATGTGGTACACTTTTTGTCACTTCATCTCTGCTTTTCAACACACTCGTAACTAGACTATAGTGGAACAATATAAAGTGCAGAGAAAGTTGAGACTGCACAAAAGGTAGGCTAAATAAAAACTGGAATGGGAGAGTTTCATTTACAGAGGAGCATGATCATTATGTTGGGTTATGGTCCTTCGCCTGCTTGCTTCTATGGGTATGTGGATGGATAAAAACAGGCATTCTGACACAGGATTGTCTCCCCACAGATCTGACCTGTAACATGGTCTGGTTTGGTCTTCATGAAGATAGAAAAGTTTAATACCATACTGTGAAACATTCCAGACAAAGCAATGGCATTTCTACTAAGATAAGCATTTTATTTAACTGACCCTGCACCAGAAAAGTTAAACAACTATACCTTTAGATTTAGTATGGTTTATAATGCAGTGAGTTATGAATAGGCGATATCATAAACAAATTCAAGTCATGTTACTAATTGGTCATCACAACATTTTAAAATTCCTGGAAGAAAGAATTCTTTGGTTGAATTTGTTGTTAAACTGTCAGATTACAGATTTGTTGGCATATATTATGGTTTCTCTTTGTAACTACTGGGCCTATCAACACGAAACAAAAATCGGCATGAAGTTCAATGTCTTCTCTATCAGTAAATAAACAAAAGTCGTTGCTTTTTTCAGTTTACTCAGCTTATTCAACCCGAAAGGCGTGATTATTGTTATTGGAAAGGACTTTAAGACAGAAGAATACGGCAAGTTTGTGGAGCCAATCCCTTACAAATAATGATAAGGTTGAACATTTGTTAGTCATAAGTTTGTTTCTTCCAAAAACAACAAATCTCCCATAGTTATTTAGGCTCCTCCCCTTCTGAAATGATGACATAATCAAAGTCTAAAGCATGAATGCAACCTATTGATCTAATTATTATTTTCTTTGAAGTCACACAACACATAGTCACATCTGTATCACATTCTACTCACTGCTCCAACTGTAATTGCATATATTTTTACAGTACTTAGCGGTCAGATAATACAACTCCACAAACAAGACAATTATTTTCTGAGGTCAGTTGGATGCGGAGAACTGCCAGCTGCCCATTGCTAGACCACACTGAACTAATCTTCAATCACGAATGCACCTTTGATAAACTTGACACAAATTAAATTAAGATGCAGTTTAATAAAAGACATTCTTTTTATAGCATCCACACTAATTTACAATCGGGATACAGTTATTCCATATCTGGCCCTGTGCTGTCACATACTTCTCCAACATCTACAAATCAAATGTGTTTCAGTGTATGTATTTCAAAACCACATCTACTTATTGCTTCACATTCCTTCTTGGCTGCTTTACATTTTAATAGCCCTTCTAAAACAGATTCATATGGTTACAATCATAATACAATGGGCTCTATAGGGACACGGGGAAATGTGAACGCTGCAGTTTTAGCTCAACATGTCCAGTATTGTTCAGCTGTACGGGGGTCTTGTTGGAAGTTGGCTAAAACATTTCCAGTTCTTTATATATGGGGATGTTTTGTGTGTGGCTTTGGCAATGTTGGTTAAAGTTTGGTAAAATATTTAATGTGATTTTCCTGACAAGTATTACAGTTGCAGTTAGAGTTACACATTCAGTTAAAGAATATCCTTTTTTTTCTGCTACTTCACTTGTATTAAAGGGGACGTAATGTGTAAAACCAACTTTTTTGAGCTTTTAACCATATTATAATGGTGTTCCCTCATCATTAGTTTACTCAAAGTTGTATCTCGATTGATTCATGCATGTTTTATTAATCCAGTACTATTCTGACTTTGAGGCTTGAGGACTTTTGTTTTCACCTTCCTACCCCATTGGGTATTAAAAAAGCATAAAATGTCATCTTTAAAACATTTTAATACATTTGTAAAGAGTCCAGAGCAGTTACAGATTGATGCAAAATGTGCTTCAAAATCCAAGTGGAAATGTGCCGGGGGATGAATGAATAATTTTGGGCTTAACTGTAAATGCATGCAAGTCAAGAGAACAAATGACTTGTGGTTGCGGGAAAACAACTCACAAAGCAAACATGTGAAAGGTTTTTTAAGTGCACATTTTTTGAGAATATATTAACCGACTTAATAATGTGTCCTCTTTAGTACTTCAGCATATAATGATTTTATTATTTTGGCCCAGTCTATTTATCCAGGCTTGGAAATGGCATAAAGAGAACATTGACTTGTGACCAACTGGGAAGCATTGTGGGCCTGTATAATTTTAATCATCCGCCATTTCTAATCATCAGTGATATTCTTGGGCCTTTTTAAAGGATCATTTTTTTTGTTTGTTTTATTTAATTTATAAAGTATAAAAGACATAAACAAAGGCTAATATATTGCAAACAGATCATCACTTTTATGCATAACAGCTTTTCTTTTTCATACCTATGCATTGCATTGGATTTTATGTTTTACATTAAATAACAGTTATTAAAAGTCACTGTTGTTAATGTTCTTCAAGACTATGATTGAAAAAAAAAAAAACTTTTTAATAAGGTAAAATTTAATGTAAAAATGCATGATGGATCATCTCAATGAAAAAAACTTTTTTCATATTGAAAATGTATATAATCTATTACATTGTAAGTTCTACATTAGGCTTTATTTACTTAAACTATAATAATATTTTGGGACACTATTGCAATGATATTTCTTGTTTTATACCTTTTAAAATATAGCTCTTGGGCATACTTCTTATTAAACAGTATTTATAGTCACCTCTCAGTGTGACTCAAGGTAAGATGGCTGCCTCTTGTTAAGTGTGAGCTGTCTCTAATTGGCTGTAAGTGCCTTCATGTGGCGACGCACGTGTCCATATATGTGCACCTCAGCCTTCACCGGTCCAATCTTTCTTTTGTGGTCACTCAGAAGTGACAGATGGAAATAACACACTGTTCTTTTCCCAGACCCCATATTGCACATTTTAAAGTCATTATCCTGCACATTTGGTTGTTTCAAAGAGTCTAATCCTTCCGCTTCCTGCCTGATTGTGATGTGTTTTGTGTTTGTAGGAAGTCATATGAGTTTGAGGATCTGCTGCAGTCTTCCTCAGAGGGGTGTAGAGTGGACTGGTACGCTCAGTCAAGACTCGGACTCACACGCACTTTATCAGAAGAGAATGTCTACGAGGACATCATAGGTAAAGGTTTCAAACAGGATTGTAAAGAAAACAAAATGAAATAAATAGTAGTGGGACAAGATACGTTTTCCACAAGACAAAACTGGATCTATGAGAACGAGACAATTGGAGATTTAATTGTGTAATCCATTTCCTAATGTACTTTATTTAATATTTCTGCTGTCATTGTAGCACTGCTTTTTGGGACTGCAGCTTCTCAAATGGAACTTGCCACTACTTAACTACATTTTTTAAACCAATCCAAATATAAAAGCATGGGGGGAAAAATTCGGCATGTGTTCACAATCTTGTAGCAGTTTTGTCTCCCGGGATCTCGTGGCACGAGATCTTCTCCCATCCCTTGAAATAATACATTACTCAGATTTTTTTTCATTTAAAAGAGTTTGATTTAAAAGAAACTAAGAACTATAACGATTTCTTATAAGTTTGACTTGCTGATTTTAAATTTTCTCTCCAATATTATTCATATCCATCATAATAGATTTCTGATTTCTGATTGAATAAATGCAACATATACAATTTTAATTCCTAACTATGGAAGCTTGCTTTCTAAGCAACAACATTGGAGACAACCTTCCACTAGAAAAGCCAGTCTCTACTTAACAAAAGATAAAAGGTAGCTGTTAACCTGAAAACCACCTCTTTATGACGCTCAAGGTGAAACAGAGGATTTTAAGCTAATAATGACTTATAATAAAAGATAACTTTAACGTATGTGAAGGAAACAAAACACAACTCTGGATATGTTTTTGCGGTAACACAATTCTAACATGACCTAAAGCTCACAAGAGTCAATTGTGTGTAACAAAGGACATTTAATCCTGTAATATTATTGTCAAATTGTTGTCTAATACTTCCAATGAAGATATAATTCATCACTTCAGTATTTCATCTCATATTTCATTAACCTGGAAAATAGCAACTTAGTATACTCTCAAAGTACAATTACTATACAATTTTCTATACACCACTATATCACTATCATTTTGAATGTACTACCTGCATATAACCCTTTTGCGTCTCTTTTCTGTACCAAACTTATTGAGTTAAGAAAGGTACAGGTAAAAAGAGGCCAGGCATTACTCTGCATGTTTTCTCTGCTCTAGTTTTAATAGAGAGTCAGCCTTCTGCTCTTTTATTAAAATTATTAGCAGGAACCTGACCTGTGCTTCTACCTTATTGTCCTAATGTTATTGTAACCCATCCCAGAGCATGTTCACCTCATAACATACAGTAGAGTCAGTGTGTGGGGTCTTTGCTTTTGTGATTGAAGGTGCAGGCAGGGGGCAAATAACATTAACTGGCAATGACTTCAATGAGTTTCAGTTGGTTTTATAAGTGAATTATAGTTTCATGCAACAATAAAGTTACTAATATTTATGATACAATGCTACTGAGGAGTAAAATAGTTTTCCTATAACCAAGCAAAATATTATATAAGAAAAGTAGACATAAAGTGAACAAATTAAGTAAAACTTCTCTCTATGCTGTAATTGGGTACCACCATGTGTAATTTAGTGTCAAAGAATGAAAATTGTATGCTTCAAAACACAAGATTAAAAATATATCCTTGTTAAATCTGACCTCACTATAAAATCAGAAACAACAGATGAGAAACAAAAGAAAATAAAATCTGTATACCATTTTAAACCAGCAAATACAAATCTGCCAATTTAAAATGAGAAACAAAAACAGATAAAAATAAAATATTAATACACCATATTTCATATATTTCAGTCTCTTTCCTTCAATGTACTTTTCTACAAATAAATTCTATCTACACTTTTAGCTTTCTTCATCATTGAGAAATAGCAGGTCCTCTTTGAAGCAGATGGATAGAACATCCCTTAACTCCTACAGGCCACATCTGGACATATGATTGATTTAACAGAAGAGAGACAGAAATAACAAGGGGGACACAGAGAGAGAGAGAGACAGAAAGAGAGAGGCATATACTTTGGAAAATTACCCAACCACTTTCTTCTTTATCTATAGGGGAAGGTGAAGGGCTAAAGTTACATGTAGTGATTTAGAAATGTCTTCCACATCTGGAGCCGCAGTCATCTGGAGAAATAAACATGATGATTTAAAAACAACACACACTGTTCTTTGGATGGCCAGACCAAAAGCAACTGAGTTATGCAATGTAGCCTAATTGTTATCTCATTGCAGGGACTTATTGTGTAATATTGCCACTTTCAAATTGAAGTAATTCAATTTAAGTAATTTTTCACTTCCGTGAAAATCAGTGAAGAGTTTATTACTAATGTTTATCCAAGTTATAACTAGCAAGAATGATTATTTTCCCACCAAAAATAATCATTCTTAAATCATACTTAGTTCAACATAGTCTAGTATTGCTTTCAGATGGCATCACAATTTTGTAAAGGAAATAGGAAATAGAAATAATATTTCATACAGATTGGTGGCAGCTAAAAAGATATATTTCGTATGAAAATACCATCTTATCCATAGGCAAAAGTTTCTCTTATCCCCCATCTGAGAGCATAACATCATCACAGTCTAAAATATTATTATATTATTATAATAATAGAATATTATATTATTATATATTATATATTTTATAGAGTGCCATTATAGAAGTGCATGTTATAAAGTTTGTATTACTTATATTTTGTTTACTTTTAAGATCCTCCATCCAAGGAGAATCCTTATGAAGATATAGAGGTGGAGAGAAGCTGTTTGGGAACCAAATGTTACTCACCAATGTCCTCCTCCCCTGTACCTGATACGCCAACAAAGGTACAAACACGTCACAGAAAATAACTGAAAGTGGGTAGACCTTCAGTCACTTTGAACTCTGTCTTTTCTACACCAGACATCCAAACCCGGGTTCTTTCGTCAAACCTCTGAAAGGAGAAGCTTTAAACTCCTGGAGCTGCGTAAAATCAACAGAGACACAGGGAACTGTGGGTCACCGTCCCGCATCAGCCCTCCCTCCACTCCCAGCAGCCCTGATGACACGCCCTGCCTCTCTGGAGACCCCTACAACCGCCGGCGCCGCAAAATACCCAAGGTGCATTTTCTATACAAACAAATGAATTTACATCTACACAATATTGTAATTAATGTTTCATTTTTATGTTTTGTATATAGACATGTATATAGACATAAACCATCAGGTTTAAGAACATTTTCTCTTTTTCTACTATACAAATTTTTTATATTAACTAAATTACTTTTTCAACTTTCAAATGGATTGATTTATGCTGCTCATAATTTTTTATGTGTTATAATGTCTGTTAAGTTAAACAAATATTGCTGCTTAGTTACCATACTGTCATAATATTACACAGTATCTTTCAATGTGCATTCAGAACTCATTCTGTCAGATAGACATTTCTTATGATTGTGTCTGAAACAAATTGAAGTTTTTTTTTCTGTTAACCTCTTTCAGATGGTGTTGAAAATCAATGCCATATTTGAGGCTAGGAGAGGAAAAAAGCGGATGAAGAGGGTTTCTCAGTCGACAGAGTCCAGCTCAGGGCGAGGTGGGGCCGTAAATCTCAAAACACATACTCAGCATCGCAATTTACTGCAGCTTACACTGTACTTTATTAGGAACTGTATATAAATCAATGCATACATTTAAATCTGCCGTCAAAGTTACTTTTATTTTCTATAATATTTTCTGAAATTGATATTTTTTATTGGCTGTTGTATAATCATCTCAAGACACACCTTTATTATTATGCTGTAAATTTCAAAGCTCATATATGCTTCTCTGTTGTAGTTACAGATGAAAACAGTGAATCAGAGAGTGACACAGAAGAAAAATTAAAAGGTGAGAAAGTAAAATTACATAAAACAAGGTTTATGTATGTAATGTTTTATGCTGTTACACTGCTATCTCTGTCCTTAGTTTATACCACATTCATAGTCATTATGTCTAATGCATAGTGTGTACATTGTTTTTACAAGCTGACTTCAAAATGGGAGTGCACATGATAAGGGAAAGAATATTTACAAGCATTTGTGAACTTGTTATTTATTACTTTTTTTTTTTTTCAATCGCTTTGACACTAAAGTCTTGATTTCAGCACAAATTCTAAAAGTCTTAACGTGTTGTAGCATTCTCTGGTCTATGTTTGTATGGTGGTTAGATAAGTTTATAAATCTGATCATTGTGTTTATATTTTAACCACAAAGTGTTCTTTTTGCAAGAGTGTTTTACGTTTTATTCACAAGGTTTACTTTTTCAACATTCTGAATTGTTTTCTGTCTTGTGTGCATTAGTTTTGCAGATTGAGCAAAAGATTTATGAAAAGTTTCAGAAAATGTGCCAAAGCAACTGAAAAAACTGTAACTGTAACTGTGTACTGCATATGTTATGTTATGTGTTACTGCCATATATTTATACACCTTTTTACCTTTTACTGCTGTTAGAATGATAAAAACTGTGCAAATCCAAAATTCCACTTGTTGCTGTAGCTCATAGTCAGCGGTTGGTGTCGGTCCAGTCCATGCTGCGTCAGACGGGGAAATACCGGACTCTGGAGCGAGACCTGATGGAGCTACAGGAGAGGAAACTCTTTGAATATTTCATCGTTGTAGCACTTCACAAAACCAAGGCTGGGGTCCCCTATCTACCAGAGGTCACACAGCAGTTCCCTCTGAAGGTAAAAGAAAATGGCTGCAATTTTTTCACCAGTCATCAAACTTCACACCTGATGATTTAAGGACTAGATTAAGGACTAAGCACTGGACTACATGCAGTTATATTCATAACCAACATCTTTTTTTTTCAATTACTTTGACACATTTCTCTATTGAAAATTGACATTTTGAAAAACAGCTCATACAAAAGTCCAACACACACAACAAACAGAGTTCGGGCTGCAAAAAGGGTTTTGTAGTCGTGATATGAGAGTTACGCCTGAAGGTTGTGCCAACATGAACTGAGTATTTGCTCCCTGTTTGACACATTTTGGAATTATGTCAAAATTTAGGTTTTAGTGTCAAATCAGTTGAAAACAACTGTAAATATACAGTGATTATTGATTGGTACAATGGATATTTTGATATTTTATCCAAATATTTATGCTGAAGAAAATTGAGACATGCCAGAATAGCAAATGCATTAAAATTGCACGCATTATATACTGTATACTACTCATTCATGTTGTCTGTATTCTCTGCTTGCAGTAGGGCCTTCTCACTTTGACTCATGTGTGAAATCAGTTGTTGTTAGATTTTGGGTGCTCACAAATTGTAATTTTTGCTGTTATGTTTGAATTTCTATACTGAAAGTGGCCAAGTTTGGGCCAACATCCTATACCATGTGAGCACAGGCCTATAGTATTGAAAATATGCTGTAAATTGAATGATCATGTGTGTTTCTGAATGAGAGCTGTGCCAAGTGTTCTGAGAAAAAGCCTGAAAACTGTGTGAACTACTGAGAAATTATCCAAGTGACTTGACTTGCTAATGTCCTGCTCAGATACATGTTTGAATCAAATGATCAAACCAAACCAGTATTTCAAAAAATGTGCTAAAACTGGAAGCAAACAGTCCTTGGGGTCTGGTCCCAGCCCACCAGACTCTGGACTGGCCTTGAACTGACCTGTAAGTTGACCTGGCAGCATCACCTCATTGTCCCCATGGAGACAGTTATGTTTAATTCCATACTGTGGGACATTTCATGCATAACAATAGCATCTCCAAGAAGAAAAGTTACACTGTGCACTTTTAAAGTTATTTTTCATCTGTATTCCTTGTATCCAGCTCGAGAGGAGTTTCAAGTTCATGCGAGAGACAGAGGACCAGCTCAAAGTCATCCCACAGTTCTGCTTTCCTGACGCCAAAGACTGGGCACCTGTTGACAACTTCCCCAGGTCAGTGATTCTCTACGGCACCCTCTCTTCCCTCTAAACATCTGAGCCAGTGCATGAAGCGAAACTCAAGACCACTCAAGAATGTTCCAGCACGGTGGTAATGGCTCAGCTGTTTTCCTCGCTAATAGGCACCTGAGCAGGCCTTAGCTTATACTGGAAGTGACCCTGTGGCTTGTAAAGGAGGATGGCTTCTTTACAAGGGTGTGGATGGTGGGTGATTAGAGGGAGATGATTTAGCAGATTTATCACTATCGGCACCTGGTTTGACAAAAACAACTACGAGATTAGAGTTGGGTGGATCGGACAGATAGCAACTCTTTTTGGTTCATGTTGTTACGACTGATATAGTTACATCTTGCATTTGGGAACACCGTGTTGAGCCTCTGACTTTGGTGTTTCTTTGACCAGAGGGAAGGGGCTGCTCTGTGCATGAGCAGTTGGGAAAAAGACATCTCAGTATCTTAATTTGAGATATTTTGATAGATCATAATTTTAGTTTTGAGTATCTGGGAGTCACATTTTGGCAAGTCTGTACACAATGTAACTATGGAGAGATGATTCCATAGAGAATATTATCATATTTATTCCTTTTTTTAAACTATCCCAATTTCTGAAGATGTTTTGCTCCAGTGAAATTAACTGTTGCAAATTAAAGCCACGGTATGCAACTTTTAGCTAATAAATAAAACTAAAATAAAAGCATGTATGGCTGTATTAATTGTACTGAAAAGATGAGAAAAGCATGCATCCTTGCTGTCTCCATAAACCTGACTCTGGCCTGGAGAAGAACCTCCTACTGCTTGTTTCCTTGGAAATGTTGTTCCTTTGGCCAGACATAAAACTCATCTATCTCTATGATAAAATGTTCCTAAGGAGGATTTTAACTTTATATTTACATAGAATCATGCAGGTGATATGGCACCTGTGAAGAGTTACATACTGGACCTTGAAGATCCTTGTATTTGTCTTTATTTTACAGTCCAGCATTTTAGAATAAGGGTAGAATCAGGGTTACAACATCTGATATCTTTTGTTTTTTAAGACTGGCTGTACAATGAAACTGCCTCTAGCATCGGTTTTCAGCAGTCCCATTGTTTAGAGAGACCATAATTAGGGCTAATAATTACCTTTTACCAGAGATTTGAAGGTTGAGCTCCACACCTGCAGAGTGAGTCAACATGCTCCCCCTCCCCTCTGAGTACCTGTCAGGAGCAGCTCAGTCTTTTGTTTGGATGTGTGCAGAGTAAGCCTGTCCTGAGGGTCCAGTATTAAGCCAAGGTGGAAAAGTAAACAAAACTAATTCCATACATCACACGTTACATGTTTGCCCACCACTCCTTTACATCAGTACATCATAAACCATGTAGCTCCTCTGTGTTTTTAAAGTCCATGTGCATAGTTTGTTATTGCAGCTATAAATGTATGATTGTCTAAATATTGATTTTTTTATCTTTTATTGTTTTAACCCAGTGAGACATTCTCATTTGTGTTGACTGGTGAAGATGGAAGTCGGAGGTTCGGTTATTGCCGTAGACTACTGGTATGTATTAATCGTTTGTGTGTCTCATATTGCCTTCAATACAGTCATATTTATCAGTTATCAGCTAATGTTTTAAGCCTTATTTTAACTGCTTCACTGCAGTTCGGACCCGCTCCACCACGACAATGGCATTTTGAAGCACAGAAATTAGGGACATCAGAATTACTTTTACTTGTTATACAGTATTATTACTTTAACATCAAGGCTAAAATGTCCAAAAGTTTTAATAATGCCATACATAAAATAATACATTGTATAGTCTAGTGATTATAAAGTACTGTCTATTGCATATGCTTCAGCTCAGATCTGTTTGGGTGAGCAGAGTCTTGTGACACTCCTGTTTTGAATCCGTGCTATTTTTCTTTGGTTGTTCACAGCCTAGTGGCAAAGGCAGGAGGCTCCCGGAGGTCTACTGCATTGTGAGCCGCTTGGGGTGTTTTGACCTCTTCTCTAAGGTAAATAACAAGCAGAAATTTGTATCCATCATTCTTCTCATACATTTTCCCATGCAAAGACATAAGTACAGCTCTGGACCCACATGGAGCACACACACCCTATAGAGGCACTTTTCCCATAGATTTTACTAGTGCTGGCTCCCACTCTGCAGCACATGTGAGGCTGCTGTGGTTACTGCAGTGGAAAAGACTCTGTAATAAGATCTCAGTTTATGTGCATCTTGACCTGTGTACATAGTGTTCAAGGCATCACTGAGAATTTTTTATTTTATTTTATTTTTTACAATCCTTGACGATGTACATCTAACTCGTAAATCAGTGGTTGGAAGCAGATGATTTAGTATGCACACATAAAAAGAGGAAAGCCAGAATGAAAGAATGTATTTTGAAGGGTAAAACCTATATTTGTTGTGATTCTTTAGATTCTGGATGAGGTGGAGAAGCGGCGAGCTATCTCTCCTGCCCTGGTGCAGCCCTTCATGAGGGGCATCATGGAGGCCCCCTTCCCTGCTCCAGGACGAACCATCACCGTCAAGAACTTCCTCCCTGGCTCTGGGACAGAGGTGAGCGCATTGTGGTGGTCAGGGGGACAGTTCTCTCAGCTCACAGTGCTACACACATCGCACGTCAACATAAAATATGCTCAGAGGCTAATCCTCCATTTGGTCTTCTTTAAAGAAGGCCCCAACACTAAATCTGGAGAAGGGTCTTCTGGAACTTGAAAGAGTGAGGCCGCCCACTGAGCATGGCAGTTCACCCCAGTGACACTGAAGGATTGGTTAAATGTAGAGAATAAAGTTCCCTGCTGGGACAATAAAGTTGTATTTAACCCTAACCTTTATAACAGATGCAGGTGTATACTGCTGTATATACTAAGCTGTTTAGTTTCTTCAGATGCTGTGTGCCACATGCACCTGTTTTACCCATGCACCCTCTGTTCCAGGTGATAGAGCTGTGCAGGCCATCCGATTCCCGCCTGGAGCATGTGGATTTTGAGTGTCTGTTTTCCTCTTTGAGTCTGCGGCTCCTCCTCAAAGTGTTCGCGTCTCTGCTGCTGGAGCGCAGGGTCATCTTCACTGCTGACAAACTCAGGTTTGAAATACTATCATACTCCACACAATTTTTAATAAAAGCAATTCTCTACTCTTAGAGAGGCTTTGTTAACTGCTAGTTTATTTTGCAATATGATCTGGTATAATCTTTGTTTGCAACCTTGATAATGTTCAGGTTAATCCAGATAAGGCTTGTTTTTTTGTGATGGCTTGGGTTTGACTTACACTATTGCCATTAAACACATTTTATTCTACTTAAGTGATAACAAGCGGGGCAATAATTTATAGGATGGCACCTGGTGTAAAATAGCTTGAGCACCACTAGATTAGACTTTCTATCTGGGGTGAAAATGACAGGGGGATCTCAAGTCGACATAATGAGACAGAAGAGTGAGAGGGGAAAGAATGCTGTTGTTTTATACAGTCGCCTGGGGAACAATCTTCTACTGTGGAAAACTGTCATGGCCGCCAAAGAGACAAGTTAGCTTCAACCATCCACACGTGCGCGCTGATGTCAGTACACTCGCATAGTTCAGGGAAGTCTGTTATTGGTGCACTGGGGAATTCACCATGTAAACTTAAACTAGCGTGAAATGAGTTAACGCTTTCATGATCTTAAGATAGATTAGAGGTACTTTTATGTGCAGAACTACGTACTAGTATTTGACAGAGTTAGATACAGTATCCAAATATTTCACTGGAATAGTTTAATTGTTTTGATAATAAGATTCAAGTTGATGTGGATCATGAACTTTGTTGGCTATAGCATTAAAGTCATCGCTGTGAACATACTTTACAAGATTTTACTTTCTTTCTTTTTTGCTGTCTCAGTTTGGGGAAAGCTTTTATAATGTTGTTTCCTCATCATAAGCTTGCTCAGCAGTATTTAGATTGCATCATGCAGGTTTTCAGTATTCATATATTGTCCTCAATTTGTGGTTTGAGTACTCAAAAAAGTTGATTACACCTACCCCTTGTCTCTGTCCACCACTCTGTATATACATGTAATTATGTAAAACAACACAGTCATAATTGTACTGTGTATTTTTGGACCAATGCACTTCAAAATACGATTCTAAGTACAAATTGAATATATTTTAAATCCAAGGTGTGATCAAACAAACTATAATATGCATTTAAGATACTTATATTGGGTAGAGTGACGAGATGATCTCTTCTTCAAATACAAAAATACACTTTTTTTTAGACTAAATGATTGCACTTCACATGTAATAGACAAGACTCATTAGTACCTACCTGTGGCATTTGTGTGGGTTAACATCGTGAGTTGTTGCACATTTTTACAATAAGCGGAAACAGTCTTTTTTCTCAGATGAATTAAGCATGGCCAGATGTACATGCTGAAGACATTAAGTTAACTGTGTGGGGTTGCGGAGGGCTGCTGTTTTATGGCTTAATATGTGTTACATCACACGCCCCTCAAAGATGCATTTGAACATTCCTCACAGAGACACAGGGTACTGTACTGTAGTCAGCGCTTCACAACATGTTCTAGATGGAATAAGAACTACATGTACAGAGTCAGCGCCATCTTGTGTGTTAAGTCTGAAACAGTAGTGGATAAACCAAATACATGTATTCAAATTGTATAGGTAACTGAAATTAATTGAAAATTGAAGTTGATGGGGGGCTGACCAGCTAGTTAACAATAAATCCATCATTCGTCAATTATCCTAGTACATTCTACACTTACCTAAATATGGGGGGGAAATGTAGTATTTTTTTCATCCCATTTATGTGTTACAGTAGTAGCAGTTGTGATAGTAAATGTTAGCAATGATGATAGTACAGTAGCAGTAGTTTTAGCAGTAATTTTCACCATGGAATTTCAGTTGTGATGAGGCCTGTCATGATAATACATTTTTAAATGTGATATATTGCTGAAGTAAATATAGATGATAAACGATAATATTAAAACAAATTTATGCATACAAAAACCCAAGAGCATATTTAAACCACAAAAAAATTCTAATTGTATCTATATTGTCAAATAAGATGCAATGAATAAAGAACAGAATTTTGTTTGTATCTGTGATGAAACATAGAAATTATGATTTCAACCTTTTATGACTTAAATTTTATGGAACAGCTAAAAAAAGAAAGAAAAAGTTCACATGATAAATATTGACCCTCAAAAATGATTTTATATCGATAAGTCAATGTAGTAATTATCATGACAGGCCTAGCTGCGATACCACTTTCCCCTCAGAACAATCATTTTGAGGTACAATATTTCTATACTCACTGCTACTTCACTACTTTAACTACTACAACTTTGTAATGTTCTTTACTTTTTGTTCCCATAGCACATTGTCCCAGTGCTGTCATGCAGTAGTGGCCCTCCTGTACCCTTTCACCTGGCAGCACACATACATCCCCGTCCTGCCCCCCTCCATGTTGGACATTGTGTGCACCCCTACCCCTTTTATAGTGGGGCTTCTCTCTAGCTCACTGCCCCGACTCAAAGAGCTTCCCATTGAAGAGGTAAGATCTTGTTAACATTTTTAAATACAGTTGTGTGGTTTTTGTAACATAATTTCAATTTAGTTTGTTTTTCACTCAGGTCTTGGTGGTTGATCTTGGCAACAGTCGCTTCTTACGACAGGTAGGTGTGCAAACTTTGGAAAACCCATGCCAAATTACTCTTGGTTAATTGTTTTTGTACATTTGTTTTTTGTTAGTTGGATGATGAGGACTCCATTCTTCCACATAAGTTGCAGGCTGCACTTGAACATGTGCTGGACAAGAGGAAAGAGTTGGCTTGTGATAAAGGAGACCTCCCTAATGGTACAGAATTGGTGTCTGTCTGGCTTACTTTTTTGCTTTAATGCAGACAGATTCAGATAATACTGTTATGTAGAAATCCGCCCAGTGAGATGTTTGGGAAAGCTCATCTTGTACGTCTTTGTACAAAGATGTGCATTATCTTTTGTTCAGTTTACGTTGTCTAAAGTGTTCCCAGGTTGAGATGTATGTACCCCACTATATCCTTTGTGCAAAACAGTGTCAATAGGTCATGTTATATACATATAATATGTGTACAGTGTTTTTTCCCCAAGTAAGGGAATAAAATAATAAAAGCAACTTTGGTGTTTAGGTTATGTATATTTAGGTTAATGAGAAACTGCTCAACTGCTGTACAGTCTGTTCACTTTTTGCATGTAACTTGAACTTCAGCCAAGACATTCAGTTCAGTTCAGTTCAGTTCTACAACTGACGTGTAACAATAAAACTTACTTTTGTTTATTTTCTGTTATTGTTACATAAATATGAAACATTTTAAGAACAAACCTTTTAGTTTTGTTTTTTATTGTTGAGGGAAATGGCCGTGTTTGGAGGTCTGTTTGTGGTGCCAGGACACCATCCTCTGCTCCTCCTCACATACAGGGGCACTGACAGAGGCCAGAGGCACTTGACTCTGTGCCATCTTACGTAGCTCTTTGGCCTCACCCTGGTCCTCCTAAAGGCCCTTGGTTTGTGTGTGTGTGTGTGTGTGTGTGTGTGTGGTTATAATTATACACTAGGGCTCTGTTAGGTGAGTTTCTTGTGCACTTCACTAAGGAGGACCCTAAGTGTAAGGGGAAATTAATATTTAATGAATAGATCAATAAAAGCTTTTATGAAAAGATGACCATAAATCTATTATTTTATTTATTTTTTGTATTATTTAGTAAAGGTTGTTACATTTGTCCTCTTCTCATTATTTCCTTTCAGACTCCAGCTCCATGAGTACAGTTGTATCGGAGGCTTTTGTGCGTTTCTTTGTGGAGATCGTGGGACACTATTCTCTGTTCATGGGTGGGACGGAGCGCGAGGAAGAGTCAGTGTCCTCCCCCTCCTCCTCCTCACCTTCTTCCTCTACTTTCCAACGTGAGCCCTTCCGGAAAGCTGTGACCTCCAAGAGTCTGAGGCGCTTCCTCGAGGTGTTCATGGAGACACAGATGTTTACTGGCTTCATCCAGGAGAGGGAGCTGCGGCGTCAAGGTCTCAAAGGTAAAGAAATCAACGTGTAGCTATTTTTCCACTGTGTTTAATAATCAAGATTTTGAATAGCAAAATTGTGAAATTGAGGATTATGATGAAATAAGTTTACTCCTCACTAAGCTGAAATTAGTAAAATCATCATAACATCACAACTCATAAAATCTGGCCATGTTGCCCAGCCCTAATAGAGACATTAGGGACACAGGTAGTCAAACATTTCATCCATTTTATACAATAAAATTAACTAAATAAACAGTTTGATTCTTGCATAATCAAATTCATACCCTGGAAATCTATATCTCTTTACAACTTTATTCTCCCTGCTAATATTTTAAACAGAGACTTTGCATCAACAATCATAAAAATACTAACATAATAAATACTAATTTTGAACTGTACTTCTCATGCCCAGGTCTGTTTGAGGTGAGAGCACAAGAGTATCTGGATGCACTGCCTGGAAGTGAACAGCGAGGAGTCAACAAATTTCTCAAAGGCCTTGGTGAGTTTTTTGTCATTCATTCTGTTTTTTCATCTTATTGCTTTGATTGGGGGTGACATAAATAGGAAGTGTATAGTTTAAATTTGATTTAATTCTAATGTTGCTTTGTTTTTTCACTTTTTAGGAAACAAGATGAAGTTTCTGTCAAAGAAGTAAACCTCAGAATCTTGGAAAAGCAAGATAAAAATGTAAATAATTACAAAATTTAAATGGGTAAAATGTCCATAGAATCATGTTGATATACTACAAGTGAATTTCGCTTAACCTTCTCAAAATAAGTCACCATTTCATGTTTTAGAATCCATTTTTGTTTGCTTTTTAAACCTGTGAAGAAGATATACACCTGTGTATAGTGTCTAATACATTCAAACTTTACATTTTTTGTTTTTTCTTTCACAAAATACTATCACAACTTCTTCAATGGGAGGCTTTTAAGTTAATTTATATTCTTTTTAGTCAAAATAATCTTTTTTTTTTTTAAATAAATGCAAATAAACCTCCCATAGCTTGTAATAGGCTTTATTTAACAAAGTCTAGTTGTCTGGAAACCACTTTGGTTGTCAGATTTGTATACCACTGTTCCATATGTGAATACAGCTCGCTTGAGTTTAAAATAATGTGTCTTAGATAATGCAGCCTGTGTATTTGTAAAAGCAACTGTTCTTAGACTTGATCAGGATTGCGATTAAGTTTCTAAATAAAGTAATTGTAAACTGATGGATCTGTTGTTTGAGTCTATATATCCGCCAGTGCTGCTAATAGGTTCATCTGATTCATGCATATTATTGTTTTCTGACTTTGATATCTCTGTATTTTGCAGTATGTCATTTAAATTATCTATCTTCATGGAGACAAGCAGAAGATAGAGTTACAGTTCACATCTGTGGAGAGGCATCCCTGCTTACAGAAAAACTAAATATTTGAGATTAATGCCAGCCATACTGTTAAATACTAAAGCTATAACATTGCATGGAGAGAGGCAACCTCCACTAGAAATGTTTCATTGTGCATCTTGTCCCTCCTTTGTTATCTTTAGTGAATGCTTCTTGTAGCACATTTGCATTTGAAGGACAACAGATTTTAACTGCAGTGACAGTTCAGTTATGATGTATTTCAGTTTAGGGCCATGGAAACTGCACTAGTACAATGTTGTCACTATGAGATGTAATACCAATGATGTCCACCAGGGGACTCTGTAGCTCAGTTAATGTTATACTCTCAGGTGTCCAAAGGTCAGTCCCTTTTAAGACAATTGTTTTCAGGTCAGTGGACTTGTGCAACGGCAACAAAGAGGGACACTTTTGTGTTGTTTACTATAAGAAACTCTGACGTTAATATCTGAGCGATATGTTTTCATTTTAGACGAATGCATGTAAATAGCCTCACAAATTGTGCATACTACACATTTTGCAAACTACTGCGAACTTTATTGCATGGACTCGTATCTTTTCAGAGCTTTAAATACATGTCATAGAGGGCAGAATAACTTCACAATTATTTAAAATGTATAATATATAATGTTTGTGTGCATTCACAAATCTTAAAGTAATTGCAATAAAGACATAGTAGTTACAAGAGTAGATGTTGATTGAGGCACCTGTTTTACATAACCATAATTAAAATCAGGACTATAGATCTTGGGTGTAGGAGTATCTAGAACTGTATGGGCCTATGCAGAAAGTCTCAGTTACTCCAAAGACAAACATGGAAATATGAGAGGAGGTGCACGGCTCTATCATAATCCCGGGTCATGTGGTGGACCTTCCTTATCCGCACAGCAGTGATAGTGCTCCAGTGTGGCTCCCTCGGACCGCTCTGGCCCCTTATGGAGGAGAGCAACACTCCCCTCCTCGTGCTCCCCCCGTCCCCCCTCTCTACGTCATGACGCTGACCGGTCAGACCTGCCCCGCTCCCTCCCCTCCTGTGTCTTGGGTCTTTTTCTCTGGCTTTTTCCAGGCTTCATGTCATACCACGGCTAATTCCTGAAATTCCTGCCCTCCTCTCGCTTCAAACAAACGGCATCAGGAAGGAGACGAGGCAGGCAGCACAATACAAACAAAGGCAACTCAAGTATTCAGTGCAACTTTTCAAAACTTTAAATTCATAAATTATTCCACCTGCCTGCAACATTCCCAGTAAACTGCAACAGGTAAGCTCTAAAGAGTAGCCTAATTCTTAAAATTACTTATTTTACTAGCTTCATGTCTTGGTTGTTAAGTTTTCTTGTCAGATTTCTTAAGTGTTTATTTACATTTGAACGCCTCTTTGCTTTTATCAATCACCGTAACACTCTGCCTGCGATAACATTCCTCAAATATCTCACATTTCTCCGTTCAAATTCCGACATTTTTTCTTTAATTGTTGCAGCGGTGCGCACGGTTTGAATTTCCTGTGCCGGGATTTATTGTGTTTTTTTCTCTGGAAAAGGGAAACCAATCACGTCATGGTGTTGTGGTCAAACATTAGCGTCAGACTGGCTAAAGTGTAACGTGGAGATTTCATTTATTAACTCTCCTGATTAATCCAGACTGTCGGCAGTTGGAGTGCGCGTACATAACAAACTTTACGCACAGACGCATTCAGTGAACGCACGGATTCATTTATATAAGAACGTGCGGTGTAATTACCCCGGGCTGTACACTTTATAGTATATTTCTACTAATGATGGTGTACTTTAATCAAACTGCAGAATAGGCATGGTTTAGTCCAGGCTTGGTCCAGTGTTAATTCCACTTTAGTTCCGTTTTTGACTTGGTTTAATGGTAGGCTATTACTTAAAAAGCCATATTGCAGAAGGCGCGAAAAGTTTATTTCTTGTTGTACTACGTCTTTTACAGAGTTATTATCCCTTCTGAATACTTAAACCTTAAATTGTTTTAATATCTCCCAACTACTGGTTGCGAAATAAATAAAATATGAATTATACTGAAATTGCTTAAAAAGATTTTTATCAGGGGCAAAAACATTAACTCCCTTGTGGCAGAAAAAACATGGCCTACAATATAGACACAAAAATAAAATATTTGTAGTTTAATATAGTCGTATCTTATGAGACTGCAAAACAGCAAAATCGGTGCATTACAAGGAACACGCTTGTAATAATAACACTATAATGCTAGAATACGTGTGTTGCTCCGTCTGCAGAGAAACTGGCTAGACAGGAAAAAGTAATTGTTCTCAACCAAAAAAAAAAAGAAAAAGAAAGAAAGAAAAAAAAAAGTATGCTAAGTGAGTTTGAATTCAACTTGGTCCCAGAAGGCAGGAGTTGTTTTTTTTGTGTGCAAAAAAACTTATATATATATATATATATATATATATATATATATATATATATAACAACCTAAATTAATTATATGCACAGAAAGATATTAAAATAGCAATAATTAATTGAAAACTAAAGTCTACCAATTCAGTGAAACAAATTTGACTGAGCCGACAGTTTCCACCTTAACACCTGCTTTATACAAACATTTACGCCGGAGTCAAGTGCATCATCACATTAGACATTACATATTTGTGTTTTATACTTGTGATTGTGGAGTGTGAGCTGATTTTGGACCAGATTAAGTTTTCAAACAAAAGTCGGTCTTTGAATGATTTTGGTGGTGACTATGTGTTTGGAGCCACACAGGGACCACAGAGTTTCCACAGGAGTAACAGGTGGAAGGTGCAGCAGGACGGGGCGATGTGAGGGGGCTAAAGCACCTGTCAAAGCCTCCTCTCCAGGCTCTGACAGGGGGACCACTTGTCAGGGACCTAAGTCTTTGCTTTTCAAGGCTGTAGCGCTTTAGTGTAGTCCTTAAATGATGGCTCTTTGTTACTACTTTAGCTCTGGGGTGGATGATATGAACAGAAAGTGTGTATCTGTATTGTATTAATGCGTTATCTGAAATTTAAGTATCCAATGTGAAATGACCCACAAAATATTAGGGCTGAATGCCTTTGGTCAATTAATCAGTGGGTGGTATCTTAGTTGACTAATTATTTTAACAGATGTATAAGGATTTATATGGGCAAGAGAAGAAAGGAAAAAGCATGAAATGAGTTGGAGATTTAGGAGTGACCAAACAGTTTAAACTGGATTTTCACTTGTTGCTTACTACTTCTCTGTATTCATAGTTTTATTCATAGAGTAGTTCTTTTTGCATTTCTGAGCTTGATATAATCATAAGGTGTATAGTACTCTAATCTAAGTTATATGAATTTTCTTTCAAAAGGATGATTCTTATCATAATATCTTCCTGTGCATCAGTTTCAGTATTCTTCCATCTGTCATCACTCATGCACAGTTGAAGTAGTTATAGAACAGGTAACATTGTGTACATAGAGTCTGATGAACAAGCTTGGCATGTGTGCTTATGTGTCGCCTGAAGACATGGGTTAGATCTGCACATCCCACATAGCAGTCATTCCTCCTCCGCTCACACCACAAGCCCAATAATGCTCCTGATATGAACCCTGCTGTACAATAAAGACCCCAGTGCCCCTTGTGCACCCACTGCTCTCTACATGCATGTACATATGTATTCTCCATAGATTTCAGCAGGGACACTTATGGAATACTATGAGTTCAGACCTTCTTTATTTTGTCTGGAGGTGAATTTGATGTGGGATGTGTAAAAACACCTGCTGTATAGGAGACAAGCAGTCAGCCGTATTAAAACATCATTTAAGATGTACAGTATTTAAATTCAAATGCATGCACACAAAAATCTGTGCTGTTTTTTTGTTTTAGTTTTTTTTTCATTCTGGATATTTTTATTGCACTGAAAAACATAGGGGAAAAAAGGCATTCTTACTGTGGGCAGGCTTCTGTCTGCATTTCTTATTTGGGAATGTTGTCCCTTTTGCTATAATATTCTACAGTATAGTATGAATTATATCAATCTCCATATTGCACAATGTTCCAAAGTATGATTGTCACTTTCTATTTCCATAGAATAATGGTGGTGTTCTACTTCCTGAAAGTGACTCAGTGCCACTTAAAAAAATAAACATAATGTTTGCTGTCCATGTTACATTTAGACAGTCTCACGGTACATTTGCGATGCAGTCGTCCAGCTTCATGTGGATTTAGTTTGTCTGAGCAAAAATAGTGTGTAATGTGCATAGTCATTTATAGTGGCAATTACAAATAATATTTGATGATGGATTAGTTAATTTATGTCTTTGTTTATATCTGGAAATATATGGTTTAAATGTATAGGGAACAGTTGAGTGGAGAGGTTGTGTGGCCCCTGACCGCTGCACCAGCTGGGATTATCCCTCTGAGCGGATCCAGAGAACAGGGGCCTCGCTGGGGGAGCACGAGGGACAGAGAGGGCCCACAGACATGGCATTATTTTAATCTGCTCTCAAACACAGCTACACAAGTTACAGAGGAAGTACTTTTGATAAAATGTGTACAGCGTACAAGTGACATCACAACATTCACAAGATTCTTGACTGAGAAGACCAGCTAAGGATTTTCTGGTTAAAGCAGCATTACCTGATTTTCAAACCTTGAAAAGAGGAAGTATGTATTTAAATCTATGTAAATTTTCCCGTGTTCTCACAAACCCATGGGCACATTGCTAGTGTTAATGCCTGAATGTTTGGGCATATGCAAGGCCTTAGAACAGATATCAAAGTGAAATAAGGGGTGGACAAAGCTCAGTCAATTC